TTTTAATTTTGTTCGAAACACTCCTCAGGTGGGCCTCCCACAGCCAGCACCATGCTGGTTCAGTCCCACTGGGTGGTACAAGTTGACCACCAGTTGTCAGTCCACCGCATATGCTCTATGATAAACCATGAAATGTAAATAAATAAGTTTGAGAACTCTTAACTGCTGCTGGGTCCTCAGGCTGGTCTGGGAAATGCTGAGCCAAGTGATGTTAACAGGTTTACTAGGCAGAAGGAAAGGGTAAGCATGGCTGAAGCATCGTGACTTTGACCCTCATGGTTGTATTATGTAATAGTTAAATGAGACATTTTAATGAGACACGTAACTGCATAATTACATAAAAAGCTATTTTAGATGGGTAAGGAAGTAAAAGATGAGCTACCTATTAAGGAAAACCCACAGAGAACCAGCGAAGAGTAGGAAATTCACTGTGGTAGATGGTAGCAACCTACAGCCACTAGCATTTTTTCCCCCCCGTACTGGGAATCAACCTCAGGACCTCTCGCTTGCCAGGGAGGTGCCACAGGCAGAGCTATATCCCCAGCCACTGCTAGCGTTCTTATAAGCTGAAATAGGGAAGGCTCTTCCCTTAAGGAGCAAAAAGATATTTATTCTCATTACTTTTAATTGACACTGCAGTGAATTTTACTGAGTCCAGCTAAACAGCAAAAAGAAATAAAGGGTATAGATATTGAAAATGAAGGCCTAATCTGTTTTCACAAATGACGTAACTGTATGTGTAGAACCCCCCCAAAAAATCTACCAACTATTGTAACTAAAATTTTAGCAAGGACATTGGATACAAGGTCAATACACAAAGATCAATTATAATCTTATATATGTATTAGTTTTCAATAGCTGCTGTGACAAACTACCACAAATTTAGTTGGTTCAAAAAATACAAAGTGGGGCTGGGGAGATAGCTCAGTAGAATTAGTGCTTGCCTGGCAAGCACAAGGGCCTGAGTCAATCCCTGGTTCCACCAAAAAACAAAAAACAAAATAAAGTTAGCTTACAGTTCGTGAGGTCAGAAGTTTGAAATGAGTCTCATTAGGCTGAAATTAAAGTGTTGGCAGGACTTCCTTCTTCTCTAAAAGCTCTATTAGAAAACTCACTTTCTTGTCTTTTCCACTTTCTAGGGGCCCTTAGCTCACTGTCTCCTTTCATCTTCAAAGTCAGCTATTTTCAAATTATATCACTTAGATAATAGTGCTGATCTTCTGCCTCCTTTGTCCATAGTAATTTTTAATAACTGCTGTGATTACATTGGGCTCACCTGGCTGAACCAGAATAATTTCTTTAACAGGAGTTGATTAGCAACCCTAATTCTATCTGTGGTCTTGATTTTCCTTTGTCTTATAATGTAATATGTAACAGATTATAGGGATTAGAACATAGGAATCTTTGAGACTGTCATTATTCTGCTTAATATAGGTTAGTGTCATCAGATAATGAAAATGGAATTTAAAAATACTATTTATAATGGCATCAAAAATTAAATAACTGAAAACTAGAAAATATTGGGAAAAATGAAAGGAGATGGAAATTATATTTTTGGATTTTAGACTCAATACTTTATGATGCCACTTCTTTTTAATGTATTTTTTAGTACAAGGTCTACAGGGTCCTACTACACAGATCAGACTTATAGTGATCCTCCTGTTTTCAGCCTCCCAAGTGTTGGGATTGCAGGCATGCGCCACCACACCCAGTCTCAAAGTCTTAGCGCACCCTAGTGGGTGGGGCTGTTATGGAACACTGGAGATCAAACCTCAGCCCTTGCATCTGCCTAAGCAGGTGCTTTAATCTGCTGAGCTACCTGGATGGCCCTGATGCCACTTTTTTTTTCTTTAAATGTATCAATTATTTAGGTGATTTTTTTTTTTTTTTCGGTACAGGGGATTGAATTTAGAACCCTGCGCTTGCCAGGCAAGCACTTACTCTACTGAGCTATCTCCCTGGTCTCCTGTATCAGTTATTTAATCTTAGTAAGAAATGTAGAACACTAATTTATGAGGATAAATTCCATTTGTCAGAGCAAAAATGGATCTCAGGTAGCCCTGGAGCTGAGGAACAGCTTTGATTTTTGCTAAAATCTGTGAGTCCACCACTTTCTGATCCACCTTGCGCTGCTCTGAAATCTGGTCTCTCTCTTTCTCGATGTCGAAGATCTTGCCTTCCTGGTGTCTGGGTCTCTGCAGCTTCTTCTTCTTGAAGTAAACATCAGTGAGGTGTTTGGTGAGTTTTCACTTTGCTGATATCAATTTTTGTAGAGGTGGCAATGACAAATTTCTTGTGTGTTCTTCATAGAGGAACGTGATTAAGGCTAAGAGGCCCTGTCACAAGTAGCAAGCCACTGGCCAGCTGCTTCAGGAAGACCACTCTCTTGCCTCTGTGACGCCCGGTGAGGATGACTGAGATGATGCCGGGAGTGAGGCTAGCTTGAAGTTTCCGCACACGCTGACTGAAGGATTTCTTGCCGTGGCTCAAGATATACCAGGGCACATTTTCAGTAGGGTAGTATCTAGGCATTTTTTGAAGCTTAACCACCTGGGTACCACCATTCTTCTTTTTTCTTCTCAACCTTTGATTTGGCAGCTGTGTACTTTCTCTTGTACAAAGCTTTTCTGGAACACATAGCAGATGGGGAGTATCTACCAATTCCTTTAACCAGGACAGGATTTTGGCTTCAGTGGGGCTGCCTCTTCTTGGACATTTTTGCCTTCACCTTACCCTTTTACCAGTACCACTGGCAGCACCCTTCTTGGCTTCAGGTTTCTTCTCTTCAGCGTCTGGCTTCTCAGTTTTCTTACCCACCATCTTGCAAGATGGGAAAAAGCATCACTTCTTATTAATGATCTACACACTTGGTGTAACCTAATCAAAATTCCAACCTCACCTGGCGTGGTGGTTAAAACCTGTAATTCCAGCCCTCAGGAGGCTAAGGCAGGAGGATTGCTGTGAGTCTGAAAGCAGCCTGGGCTACAAAATGAGTCCAAGACCCGCCTAAACTGCATAGTAAGACCCTGTCTCAGAAAGAAAAAAAAAAAAAATCCAACAGGCTTTTTAGCAGAAGTTGGCTTGCTGAGTCTAAAATTTATATTGATTGGGATGGGGTATAACTCTGGTGTAGCTGAGCATGCATAAAGCCCTTAGTTCAATTCCCAGAACCAAAAATAAATAAATAAAATTTATATGGAAATGCAAAGGGCTCCTGGTTGTGAAGACAATATTGAAAACACAAAGCTGGAGAACTTATGGAACCTGATTAAATATTTCCTAGAAAGCAATAGTAATTAAGATAATGTGATGTTGACATAAGGACTGACAAGGAAGTAAATAAGAGTGTCTAGCAATACATCCCTGTTACGTGTTTGATTGAATGTTGACATGTGCTAAGGCAATTCAGTGAGGAAAGGAGAACTTTTACAATCAAAGTCTCTGGAGCAAATGGTTAAACCTGTGAAAAATGGAATTGAAAGTAGGAGGCAGGATTAAAGATATAGTTTTTTTTAATTTTTTTTTTTTTTTTTTTTGGTTAGGATGGCTTGACTGGTTTTGGATAAGTTAGAAGGGCTTGGCTGGCAGAATGGAATACTTCTTTTGGGGCAGTTGGCTTTACCAATTTTATAAATCAGTATCCTCCATTCCCACAGGCTTTTAAGGGCAGAATGGTAGGGTAAGCAGAGTTCTAAGAGACCCTGAAGATGCACTGCCCATGACATATATACCACATGTCATTCCTAACCCTTGGGTGTGGGTGCAGCCAGGGAATTGGGTGATTTGGTACTACTATGATTATATTATGTTAATAAGACTTACTCAGTGCTAACTTGAAGGAGATGGGACTAGAAGTCAGAGGGACAGGCTGTGAGTGGCCTGGGGACCTGCCGTGAGTGGCCAGTGGGGACCTTGTCTCCAGAAATTGCATGCAGCCTCTAGAAACTGAGAAGAGTCCTTGGCCATCACCTTGACTGCCTCCTTGTGAGACCTGGGCAGACCATCTGCTGACCTATGCCTAGGCTCCTGACCCCCAGGAAAGATGAGTAATGAAGGTGCAGTGTCTTAAGCCACTAAATTTGAAGTAATTTATTAAACAGGAACAGAAAACAAATGTGTGTGGTGAGTCTATCCATGCTGTAAAAGTCATCCTGCAGAAAAGCAATTTCAATTTCTCTTTTGAATATGACCAGGAGTCAGTCTTACCACGACTGGGGTCATGCTGCTTTGGACAAGGCTGGAGCCAGTTAGTACTCCCCCTGATAGAGGATTTGGAAGGTCCACTTAGATGAAAAGAATTAATATTGCTCTGAGTCTCTGACATAGCTCCTTCCTGGATCCGGATCTAATCAAACATTCTAAGTTAGAATAAAGTTTTTAGGGTTTATTTTCCTCTTTCTTTTCTTTTCTTTCTTTCTTTCTTTTTATTTTATTTATTTATTTATTTATTTTTTTTTTTTTGACAGTACTGCGATTGACCTCATGCTAGGCAAGCGTTCTGTCATGGAGCTATACTTCCTGGTCCCTCAGAGTTATAATAGATGATTCAGATCATTTGCATAAAGCTTGATGAGCTGAGTGCTCAAAACAGGTTTAGAGTTGACTTTTTTCTCTTGAGACAGGGTTTTGTTAGGTAGCCCAGGCTGGCCTCAAATTCTCAGTCCTGCCTCAGCCCCCCTAGTGCTGACTTTATAGGTGTGCACCGCCATATCTGGCCAGGTTAACCTTTGGAGCATTGAAAACCAGGTGCTCCCATACTGGCAAGTCCACAGGGAGATGGGCTGTTCAGTCCTTGGGAACTCATTCTGAGGAGAGCAGGTAGACCCTGAACCCATTTTTCAGGTACCTGATGGGTGAGAGCCTGACCAGGCTGGACCTTCATGCCTCAGGACCTAGGCATCAGAGACTGTGCTGGTTTGAGCACCTTAATATCTTTAGTAGATTGAGCCAGGAAGGCAAGTAGATCTGTAGTTTCACCATTTTCCTTTTTCTCTTCGCAGAATCAAAATTATAAGGGCCATGGGTTGTCAAAAGGAAAAGAGCGGTGAGTGGTCTGACTCAGTCTAGTAAACTCAGAACTACCTATCCTTCCTCCCGCCCCTCCCCTCTTTCCCTTCTTCTCTCCCTTCCTATTTCCACACTACCTTCCTCCCCTTTTCCCTCCCTTAATCTCGTTTATTTTTTACTTCAGTATATATAATGACAATTATAGTAGTAGTTTATTTTTGCAGTGTTGGGGCTTGAACTAGGAGCCTCAAGTATGCCAGACAAGTGTTCTACCACGCTGTTACACCCCCAATCCCAGAAGTAATACTGACAGCAGTTATTGCACACTTGTGTGCCAGGCCCCGGGCTACTCACTTTCCCTGTATGGAAATATTATTTCTTCAAGTCATTACCACAGTCCTTCTAATCCTACTACCATCTTTACAGAGGGAGAAACTCAGAAAGGCTAAGGGAAGCTCGGAGAGGCCGCGTGACTTGCTTGAGATGCTATGGCCTGTCAGTGGCAGAGCTTACTGGACTCCAGGCCAACTGTCTAGCCATCCTCTCCTGCCTGCCTCAGTGACCCTATGATTACCTTTGAGATCAACTGTGCCCTACCCTTGTGCTTACCCTGCACCCACATTAGCCTGGATACAGGACTCAGAACACCTTGGGTCCCCTAAAGAATCTACTTGCAGCCAGGTATGGTGGCATATACCTGTAATCCCAGCACTTTGGAGGCTGAGGCAGGAAGATTACAAAATCAAGCCTAATCTAGGCAACTTGGTGAGACCCTGTCATAGAGTAAGAGAAAAAGAAATTAAAAGGGGCTGGAATGTAGTTCAGTGCAACGGCCCTGGGTTCAATTCCTAGTGCTAAAAAAAAAATCTGCTCATACAAGCCTTGAACTTTCTTGAAGACGTTTGCAAGGAGCTAGAGCAATTCACATGGTGTACAACATCTCCAGTTGTAGCCATTTCCATTCACTCTGAAGTCTCTCCTGGCCGGGGGTCCCTGAGGAGGGCTCCAGCCCTCTTTGCCATGGGGCCGTCGTCTTTGCCTTCCCCCGCAGTACAGACTCTCTACCCCCACCCGTTTCAGATCTCTCTCTCACGTAGGGGAGCTCAGCTCTGTTCCTGACAAAACAGAGCGCTCCAGGCAACTGCCCACCTGCCTGCTTCTTTAAGGCACATGGTAATTAGAAATGTGTTTGGCTACAAGTAACAGAACGTGCAATGAATAGCAGTTCAAACAAATGGTATTTACTTTCTACACATCACAAAGAGACTGGATTCTGCTGCAGAGGGAGCAGATGATGTCAGAGCCAACACCTTTGTGGTTGTTTTGATCTTTTCTCATGGGCACTTAGTGGCTGCTGTGGTTCCTGCTTTTGTGTCATGGTTGAGACAGGAGGAGGGAGGGGCAGAGAAGCAAGTAGCACCTCTAGTTTTCTCTCTACTGAAAGAACAAAACTTTCCCATGAACCACCCCCTTCCTAGCAGTCTTGTGTTTTTATCTTATTGATCAGAATAGCATCACATGGCCACCCCTAACTGCATGGATGGCCTGGAATATAAATTACCTAAATGACATTAGACTGCTGCTACTAGTCTGTCCTCTGCCTTGTCACACACGATTACACTTTCACTATCTTTCCATGCTGGTGCAGGCAGCTCTGGAAGCGCTGCCTGTATACTGTGCATCACAGTTATTTACCTGCCTTCCTGTCAAGATGTACTTGCGCTGGGGCCTCCTGCTGGCTTTCCCTGGAAGCCAACCCTGAGACAGAGACGTGGGAGCCTCAGTCGGTCTGGGGGTGTTCCAGGGAGCACTGGGAAGTGGCTGTAAGGCTGCTGCAGGAGGTCCACCATGGCGGGTACTGCTGTGGGCAAGGGGTGCTGCCCTGCTGGGGCTACCAGGAGGTGGGGTGGCGGTACGGAAGGCCTGTTCCAAGGGGGTGATGAGGGAGCTAGAGCAGCTTGCCACTGACTGCAGTCACCACCTGCTGTGCTGTGCCGGGGGCTGCGCAGGGAGCTCCTTGCTTCATGATCTGCACAGGTGCTGGCTGAGCAGGCGGGGAGGGGCGAGAGCCCTCAGACAGAGTTGCAGGCTCTGGTGGTGGAAAACACTCAGACTGGCAGGCACAGAAATGGAGGCTGCCAGGGGTGGGGTGGGCCTCCAGTGTTGTATGCTACAGGTCCATCCTACGGACAATATTGGCAATTATAGGAGAATATCACTGTACAGGTGTTTCTGGTCCATGTGTGGGTGTAAGCCTAGGATACAATGCTGAGTTCAGGGTAGGAGCATTCTGCCAGCGAAGGAAAGTCTCCATTTCACCCCACTCTTGTCAAAACTTAAGACTTCTGAGCTGAGGATAGTGTGCCACGTGCCTGTAATCCCAGCCCTCAGGAGGTGGAGGTAGGAGGATCTCAAGTTCCAGGCCAGCGTGGATGACCATCGTAAGACTCCACCTCAAATAAAGACAGACAAGCTTGGACTTTGAGGTTTCTTCCAGTCCAATGGACGGGCCGGGGTACCTGATGGCTTTGATATGCTCAATTGCTCTCAAAGGTTTGTGCAATTTGCACTTCCTGCTGTGTCCTGGGACTGTGACCATTCCTCCACTTTCTTGTGAATACTTGGTATTTGAAATTTTCTCCAATTTCATGGATTTGAGATAGTTCAGTAGAATAAGCACTTGCCTGGCAAGTGCAAGGTCCTGAGTTCAATCCCTGGTACCACAAAAAATAAAAATAAAAAATGAAATTGTAGGTCTGGTGAGATGGCTCAGTGGTCTAAAGCACCTACTTAGAACAAGCTTAGCAAAGCACAGGGACTGTGGTTCAATCCCCCAGCACCACATGCCAGC